AAAAAAAAAAAAAATTGAAATTGTTTTTGAGAATAGGAAACCAAAGAATAGGAACAAGAGCAAAAAATATACCCCAACAGTCCTTAGACAGATAGGGAAAGTTAAGTCCCTTTATTCATGGTAAAGGCACAAGAATTTTAGGCAGTGCACTATAATGAGGAAACTTGGTGAATGTGGGAAAAATTTTGTGTATAGAAGGAAGGAACTGTTACAGATCAGCCAGTATTTCATTGAGATTGCCTCTGAAATGTCTAACTGATGTTCAGAAACATGAGGTATTCTGTCAGTTATCATCTGGGAGAAATTTCTCCTGAAATGTTGATTTGCCTCATTCTGGACTGGTTCTCAGGTATCATTTTCCTGGAAATTCCCTTTGTCATCTCTTATGGCAGCCGTGTTTCCAGTTAGACCTCATTGTTTCCTTTTTTTTTTTTTTTGTTTACTCCCACCTATCAGGGATGCACATTCTCCAATAGCTTTTGAAAAGGAAAAATGAGAAGTTAATATTTTTGAGTTTCTGTGTGTTTGGAATGTCTTTGTTTTATCCTTATACTTGGCTGCTGTTTTGGCATGGTAGGGAATTCCTGGGCCGTCTACACGCCCATTCTTTCCACTGGGTGCCTGGTTGCTACCATTCAATCTGAAAACTAATGATTTGTTTCTTCTCTCTTTCTGGAATTCCTGTTATCCAGGTGTTAGACCTCCAGGATTGGTTCTCTAGTTTTCTTTTCATTTCCAGCTCTCTCTTCTTGCTCTACTTTTCATAGGACCATTCCTCAACTTAATCTTCTAAATCATGACTTACTATATTGTTTCTGGTGTCATATTCTTTTTTTGTTTCGTTTGAAACAGAGTCGCACTCTGTTGCCCTGAGTAAAATGCTGTGGTGTCATAGCTCACAGCAACCTTATCTTCTTGCCTCAGCCTCCCGAGTAGCTGGGACTACAGGTATCCACCACAGCACTTGGCTAAGTTTTCTATTTTTTAGTAGAGTCAGGGTTTCACTGTTGCTCAGGCTGGTGTCAATTCCTGAGCTCAGGCAATCCATCCACCTTGGCCTCTGAGAGTGCTAATTACAGGCGTGAGCCATGGTTCTTGGCCTGGTGTCTTATTCTTAATTTCTAAGTGTATTCTTCTTTAAATATTCTTTTCTTAGCTGGGCACGGTGGCAGTATGTCTCTGAACGTATTTGTGCGTGTGTATAATACACACAAACACATCTGTACTGCATTCATGTCATTTTCTTCTTCTACATATTCTGTGTCCTCCAAGGTTTGTTTGTTTCTCAAGATGTTTGCTTTTGTTTTGCTCTTCTATGTTCTAGGCTTTCCTCAGAGTTAGTGATCTTAGTAGTCTGTCTACTCATATGTAAGAGTGGAACACTGAAAAGCTTGCATGGGTCACTACAAAAGTTTTGAGATGGACTGAGTATATTATGGTCCATTATTTCATTTGGAAGAAAACACAGCCCACTGCATCCTTTCTCATTGACCTGGGCAAGTTCCAACTTGCTCAGCTTACCATGTTGCTAGGAGGGCTTCATTTGTTTTCATCCACATGCATTTTATGTTCCTTGATTTTTGTGTATTTCCAAACTTTTACAGTGGCCCATGTACTAAGAGTATGGAAAAAGGCTGTTAGCTTTGGTACCAGCAACTGAGCTCCTCCAATCTCCTGCCCCGAGTGTCTGCTCACCGCCCTCACAGTCTTGATTCTGGAACCCATTCACATCTGTCAAGACTATCCAGGTTGTCCAGCCCCAATGTGCATTTTTCGCTCTTTAGAACCTGCTGAAAGTGCAAGACCTACAAAGTTTCCCTTTCTTTAGCAAACCATCAACTAGTACATGCTGCTTTTCAAGAACAATTTATTTTTAACTATAATTTAATTTTATGCATTTATGTTCTCCAAGTGTATTTTATTACATGCACTGTATCTTGTATGGTGCTCTGTACCCTATGGGTGCTAAATAAAGGCGTGCTACTGATAACTGGATATAGGATTTGGTTAATTCTGCCTCGGTTTAAGATACCTTTGTTTAGGGCAAACCCAGCAAGATAAAAAGAGGGATCTTTTTCCAGCTGGGCTTTGGGGGGCGGTGTAGGGGCGCTTTGTTCTTTAAAAACATTCAAAATACGACTACAGCCCGGAGAAATGTGCTGAGGACCCCTGTCTGTGCGCCCACCCCTAACCTCCTCGCCCCGCATGTCCCCGGGCCTGGCGGTGGGTCGCAGTGACAGTCTCACGGATTTGAGAAAACGAAACTGGTACAATCCAGCGACTTCCGGGAGCGCAGGCACAGCGCGCCGCCAACGGCCGCCACCGCCCCTAGCGACAGTGCAGCCATGGCCCAGGAGTCGCTGCGCCGGCCCCGCAGCCCCGAGGCTCAGCCCGCACGGGACGCGCTCCCCTGCCCCACCGGTGAGTACGCGGGCTAGGCGGGCTGCGCTCCGGTCGCCGCCATGTGGGGGTCCTGGCCGCCCCGGGCGGGCATGGCTTCGGGTCCCCTCTCCCGTCAGCATCCAGCAGACCTGAGTACACTCGCCTACCGTGACCCGCCCGCCCTTAGCTGATACCAGGGGACAGGGTCCTGCGAGGAGGTGGCAGGAGGGGAGCCCCGGGAGGAGACATGCTAGTCTGGGTCTCAGGAAATAGCTGGGGCAGTTTTCACCCAGGGTGTGATTACAACTCACCTCTTTCTTCCAGTCCTCCCCAGCCCTCCACTTGAGCGGGTCTACCACTTGGGCCCTCCCTTCATTTGATCGTGTATAAACCTGTAATCCCAGCACTCTGGGAGGCTAAGGCAGACGGATTGATGGAGTTTAGGAGTTCAGACCAGCCTGAGCAAGAGCAAGACCGCGTCTGTACTAAAAATAGAAAAATTATCCGGGTGCTGTGGCTGGCTCCTGTAGTCCCAGATACTTGGGAGGCCAAGGCAGAAGGATCACTTGAGCCCAAGAGTTGGAGGTTGTTGTGAGCTATAATGGCACGGCGCTCTACCTAGGGCAACAGAGTGAGACTCTGCTCAAAACAAAACAAAAAATGATTTTGACAGCCTGCCTCTGGAGAGTGGAATAGGTATCTTAATAGAAATAGTCAGAACCACAGAGGCTGAAATGAGGGAGTTTTACCTCTCTCTGTTCAGGGAAATTTTATAGGAGGAGATGTCTGATCTTGGGAGATGGACAGAGTCTTGCTCTTGTCACCCTGGCTAGAGTACAGTGGTGCAGTGGTGTCATCATAGCTCCTTGCAACCTCAAACTTCTGGGTGTAAGTGATCCTCCTGCCTCATCCTCCTCAGTAGCTGGGACTGCCACTGTACCCAACTAATTATTTCTATTTTTACTATATTTTTAGTAGAGATAGTAGGCTGACTATCTTCAACTCCTGAACCCAAGTGATCCTTCCACCTCAGCCTCCCAGATTGCTAGAATCATAGGCATGAGCCACCCACGATGTTAGTTTTAAAGGTCAAGTCAGCCAAAGGTAGAAAGGTTGAAAGGGTGTTATAGGCACAGAGGATGACAGGAACAGGCATCAAACCACAACACATATGTGACAACCACAAGCCAACCAGCTAATG